CAGAAAACAAAATAACATCCTATCGATGACCCGGTCCTCGTTGGACCTAAGGGAGGAGAGAGACAGCCGACCTTCGCCATTGGCCCGGCTACCACACCTTCAACTCAATCCTGTTACTTTGTCCCACTCGCACACTCTCCACCCTTGGGTTTCCAGTGAAATGCAACTTCCTAGTGGTACACTCATAAAAATTCTCATGGTCCTGCTGCAGCACGTAAGAAGTGCGACTGATTTGCTTTTAGAGGATTTATAGGTAAGAAAGGAGCGCTTACAGCTGAAGAGAAACGGACCAGTGCACTGCAGTCAATCGACATCGTCGTTGGTCGATGTCTGCTTACTTACCCATAGTGAACACGGTAACTTCAGAGGGTAAGGGCTATCTATCGGCAGGGTACAGCATCGTTGCGCGCGTCGTTGCGCGAAACCCATCGGGGGAGCGGGGGAAGGAGGGGAGGGAAGGGGAGCGAACTTGGCCGCTGAGGGGGGGGGGTCGTAAACGCAGGGTCGGTGAGCACCAAACAGCACAGAAGTGTCATCGCGAAGTTTGATGGAGCGGACGGGAGGACCTGGATGTAAGGAAAACTACAAAATATTGAAATGAACCCGTATAAGTAGGTAGATGACTAAATAATACATCTCAAACAGATTCGTGCGTATCAACCTTTCCAAACCCTAAACAAACATCTGCTTGCATGGACAAAAATCTTAGAAGTTACACCTTTCCACCATCTCTGCCTAGGTGAGACCGGCAGAGGTTCGCTTATAATCCATTCGAAGGATTGAAGCAACTGATTCGTGGTATAGTAGAGAGTTTAAGCTGGTTCAAAGCAATGACGTTGTGTGACGAAGTGCGAGGTAGTTCACTCCTTCTGGAAGTGAAATCGAGTATGCCAAGTGGCGAAGCATGAACAATCACCTTAATCACTTATCATTTTTTCTCCTATGTAATGATTGTCCGCATGCAACCTGTCACAGGTACGTTTCAGCTGTGGAGGGGCCCACTCAGGTGACGCGTTTTGATCGAATTCCGCGCAGGTGCGGGCGTTGTTCGGTGACGCATTTGCTACCGAATCACCGCACTTGGACGAGCTGCTGGGACGCGATGAGGGTTCCAAGATCCGTAAGGTTCCGCAGACGCATTCTCAGGGCTATCGGGAGCTGTTTGGGCTTCGAGATGTGTCCGAGATGCGCGGCGAAGCCTGGAAGGCTGGGAGGTGCGCCCTATTCGGCAGCATGGCCCCAAGGATCGGCCTTGCGCCGAGTCGTAGGATTTTTGGGTAGTTCTCTCTGCCAACAACGCGAGGGTTGGTTGGGCCTGAGGGAGCACCGATCTCCTTGGAGGATCGATCACAACAACGATTCCTGCTCCGAAATGGACAAAATGCGGTGACAAAAAAGCCACGAACGATCGACAATCCAGTCCCAGGACAGGTATATTTTTTTCCCAAAAATTACGAAATTAACAATTTTGCAAAAGATTGGCCAAAACGGGTGCCGAACAGGAGTACCTCGTGTGAAAAATCGGCATGTAAAAATTGCCGCATGAACCATGTCCCACAGTACGTTTCCCAGCGTGGAGGGGCCCACTCGGATGGACGCGTTTCGCATCAAGATTCCGGCGCCGGGTGGCGGGGGGCGTTTGTTCGGTGACCATTTGCTATCCGAAATCACCAAGCACTTGTCGACGCTGCTGGAACAGCGGTCCGAGTTCGAAGATCCGCAAGGTTCCGCAGACGCATTCTCAGGGCTATCGGGAGCTGTTTGGGCTTCGAGATGTGTCCGAGATGCGCGGCCAAGCCCGGAAGGCTGGGAGGTGCGCCCTATTCGGCAGCATGGCCCCAAGGATCGGCCTTGCGCCGAGTCGTAGGATTTTTGGGTAGTTCTCTCTGCCAACAACGCGAGGGTTGGTTGGGCCTGAGGGAGCACCGATCTCCTTGGAGGATCGATCACAACAACGATTCCTGCTCCGAAATGGACAAAATCGATGACAAAAAGGCCACCGAACGATCGACAATCCGTCCCGGACGGTATTTTTTGCAAAAATTGGCGAAAATTACAATTTTGGCAAAAGATTTGCCAAAACCGGTGCCGAACCAGGATACCTCGTGTGAAATCGGCCCCGCATCGCTCTGAGCCATCTCTCCACATTCACTATGGTTTCGACGTATGTGATCAACCTTACAGGCCGCATACACAATGATAAGCCAGAGGTCCTTATTTTCTGAGGTTTTCGATGATCGAACGGTCACCCTGCCGGCCGAGCCATCCAGATTGTGGGCAACCATCTTCGACCGCCAGATAATTTCCGCAGCTGTCTTCGTCCCCGCGATGCTACTATTCTCTATTGATCGCATTTTTCTAGCTCCATGTATTCGCACCCTCCAAAGTTTTCCAAAGATATTTTTACAGCGATTTTCTTCTAATCATTCAGACTTTACTCATTTTGCCCAAGCCACCTTGTTCTTTGGAATTTTCTGATTTTTTCGAGTTAATCCCCTCTAAAACGAACACATTAAGATGATAATACTTCATTCATTGATTTATCGATCTCTACATGCAACACGTGATTAACTACGACCAGTCACTTCTTTTTCATACAACACAACCTGTTCAACTAATTCAAATAAAATATGAATTCTTACACATGATTTTAACTTTGTACCATCTCAAAATGCGCAATATGATTTACGAAAAAGGAATGAAAAGTGGTTACGATCAGGAGCCATATAATTTATGAAGAAATCCGTATTAAAATCGGATTTTAGATAAACAGAGGCACTTCAGAAGAGGAAGCAGCAGCACATTGTGTTACAGAAGCTGCTGGCCTGGAGCTTCGAGCAAAAACTTTTTGTTTTTTTCGACGAACTTTTTCTCCATCCAGAAACTTATTTCAGCATCGACTTTTCTTACTACACGAGGGTTCCAGTCGCAGTTCAGGCTAATTGTATGGGCGGAGAAAGACAGTCATTGCGCCTTCCTCGCTGGTGGGCAGGCCTTCTTTACAACGAATAAAATATAAATTTTCCTACAGGAAGAGAACGTGGCAGTGAAGGGGTTACCCAGCAGCATTACCATGACAGAATCACCAACCAAGATCCAATATCTAACTTTTATGTCCAATGAAGGGAGATAAGTAGCTCCTAAGAGACTTAAAACACAGTGCACGCTGATCATATGGGCGGAAACAAAGGACCATTAGTGCCTTCCTCATTAACTTTTCTCACAAAGGCATTAAGGAGGTGCCAGAGAGAAGAGCAGAAAATGATGAGAATCGTTGTGCCGTGCTCATCGGTACTCCCCTCCTAAACCAGTGAAGCGGAGGCGCCAGTAAAAGAGGTGTAAATGACCATCTGTCTCCGCCCATAGATTCAACGAGGACTGCGGTTTAGCTTCGGAAGGTACCTAAATCTGTCAATGGAAACAAAGCAAAGGAGACATGACTCGACTCATGATATCATTATTGCAAGTTAATGTCGGCGTTTAAGACCCTCCTATACTCGCACTTTATAGGAAAATTCTAGTATTTATCTTATTTTCCAATGATGAACCAATGATTAGGGATTACAGTATTACTTGATTAGCTGTATTATTTTTTTCTTTGCAGGGGGAAATGGCACACATTTTGGACACCAGTGTTCGCCTTTTAAGAAGAACTTAAAGACACATTTCGAACTGATCGAGTGGGCGGGGACAGTGAACTACTAAACTTCCTTATAAAAGCCAGTAAAAAAAAGATGGATATTTCGCTGTCGCCGCCTATAGGTCAGCGTGGACCGCGTCAAGAACATCGAAAAGTTAGATGCTGAAACTTCCTGGGAAAATAACCGCATGTCAGAAAAATAACCAAGGCCAGCGCCCGAACTTCCAGCCATCTGCTCATGTTTCACAACAGCAGCTCGTCGAAGAGGGTAACATGATAACAACTACGTGATGTCTACATTAAAAGAAGAGATGAAACGGAAGAATAATTGCTCTTTACACCAGGGAATGTGAAACACGTCTAGGATGACATAAGCGCGTAAACATTTCATAAACAACAACTAACAAGTAAATATGAGATAATGTGTGAAATAAATGAAAGATTACTTGGCAGTTCTCAGTGCTTATTCCACATCATGGAGCTTGCACTTCTACAACACTTGACCGCTGACGTTCTTGTGCTTGTCGCACTGACTCCACAAAGTCAATCACCTGAAAACTTTTTGATTAGAAACAGCCGATTCTTTTTGTGGACTTTTAGAGTAAATCGCTTGGCTTAACTGTTTTTTTACCCGGATAAACTCAATATGGATCTTTTTCCCGACGGGATTTATTATAACGACAAAGCACGGATTGATGAAAAATTGGGTAAAAATGCGCAAGGCCTGTTTCCGTGAGAACTTGGGCGCTGTTCGGCTTGGGAAAGGCATTTTGCTCTTTCACTATTTTTTTTTGCTTGTTCCTATTATTAAATTATACGTCACACGATGGTGAGACCTGTAGATTTCTGTTGAAACTGAAATAAGCCGCTGCTACTGCAAATCTTCACAGGAATTCGTAGGCCTCCGCAGAAGGCATCGCAGTGATCTATGAGAAAAATGCCCCCACACAAAGCCGAACAGCGCCAAATCCAA